GTCCCACCAGAATCCGTACAAACTTGCAAATTTTCTGGTCTTTAGAAGGTACGTTGAAATCGGATAACTTTGGCTCTGGAGGTAACTGCATGACATTTTTACCGGTCAATTTACTATAAGCTCATAACGCGTCTACGTTTACAAATGCCCGTTGACTAATACGCTCTTGTTTTATACGATCGTTTAGAAAGTCTAACACATGGGCGCGATTTTGCTTCCAAGCTTGTTTTGCTTGAGCCAATTGTTCTAAAGTTTACTATCGCTCCTCCTACCATCATTGAAGCACTTGCCATTTTATTTTATAATATTTTAAAATGGACCAAAAATTTTCAAAGTTGTTTTACAGTCCGCAAGGCTATTGGAAGGGCGAAAGCGCGGCCGATCATTTACACAAAGACGGGCGCAGAAAACTCTACCGTGCGAAACTGGCTAAAAAAGCAAGCCATTTAGCAGATTTATTTACCTGCCCCTAAGTACGCACCGAGACCAATGACTTTACAATCAGAATCGGTCAAACCCAATTACACGCATCAAATGGATATATTATATTTGCCTTGGGATAGAGTGAATCGTAAAACTTTTAAATACGCTTTGACCGTAGTAGATGTCGGTTCGCGGTATAAAGAGGCAGAACCGTTGACCAGTAAAACCGCCGATCAACCACTAGAAGCCGTGAAACAAATTTATGAAAGATCGCCCTCGACTTGGCCTATATTTATAATGGTAGACTCGGGATCGGAATTTAAAGGTGAATTTAAAACGTTAATGACAAAACATGGAGTTAAAATGCAAGTGGGTGAACCCGGCGTACATCTCTCACAGGGAATCGTGGAAAGGTTTAACCGTACATTAGCCGAGCGTTTATTCGGTCATCAATACGCGCAGGAAATGTTAAACGTAGACGTTCGTAACGTAGAATGGGTAGAACGTTTGCCCCAAGTAATAAAATCGTTAAATGAGGAAAAGACCAGACTAATTGATGCTGTTCCAGCAGAAGCTGTCAAACTAGACCGAGTAAAACTAACACCGAGTGCACCTCCAAGAGTTGGGATTTCCTGGCAGCTTGGAACATTGCAAGAATCACGTTTCAGAGCGTTTTACCCGCAAAGGCAGATGCAACTATACCTTTATAAATGTAGAAAGAATTTGATTTAGCAAAAGGAACACAATTTTCCTCAGAAACTCCCAGTTGAAGATAGCTTTCTTTTTTGATGAAAAATTGCCAGCACAATAATAAATAAATATGACAGTACAATAATAATCACATCTTCAGCTATTAAGTGGTTGTATTCATTGATCAATGTCGAACACAATCCTGTAGATTCTCCTTCAGTGCAGCACATAATAATGTCTCTGCACAGACATCCTGTCCAAAAAGAACCAATTAAGTTAGACCAGGTTAAAGCCATAGTTAAAGGTTTGCGCACCCTGAAACAAGCTTCACTCATTTACGAACGGCATATTATGTGACTCTGCAATATTTTTTATTGTTTAGGCACGACGAGATGTCACAGTTAGAATCCAGCCATTTAGCAGAATTGCCGAATGATTCTGGTTTGAGTATTTTTATACCCAGATCCAAAACGGACATTTTTAGAGATGGAAACAAAACATACTTGTCAAAAACCCCAGATGAATACTGTCTCGTTACGATTTAAAAAACAAATGGCAAAATGTAACAAAAACCTAAGAGACAATTCTTATATATTTACCCCTCTGTCATATCACCCCAGCTCAGGTTTTCGTACCCATTAGCTATTCAAGGGGCCGAGAAATGTTTTTAGATGCATTGAGGCAAATATATATAGAAGATCCTAAGAAATGTGGTTTATAGTTTAGTTTAAGATCAAGTGGGACCATATATATGGCTAATAAAGGGGCATCAGACGAAATCATCATGATGCATGGTAGATGGAAAACGAGTCAAGCTAAAAATAGATACGTAAAGCACAGCGTAGAAAAGAAAGTTACTATCAAGTTAACCACATTTGTATCTAATTTCTTGTGATAAATGATATCAAATTTTATGCTCTCTTTCCACAATGGAAATTGTAGATTTCGATTTGATTCCGCACAGATGATCCGAAGAGAGTTAGGCTTAAATCCCAAGGTGGGGTTAGTTGGAATATTTGTGTTTTGTTGACTAAAAAGTAAAAGAAGAAGTTTTCAAGTTTTAAATTTACAAGGGTTCTTTTTTGGTCATCCCAGATGAGGTTTGCTAATGTTTCTTGTAGTAAAAAAAAAGGGGAAAAAAACCAGACCATACTTTCGGCTGAATGACCTGGACAGAGAATCTGGAGAGCCATGAGGGCTGGAATACCAAGGTGGGATTTGTTCAGGTTGTGCACGTGTTGAATGATTTTCCTTTTGATACTTCGTATATTTATATTTTTTATGTATATGATTTATCGGGGTTCCATTTCTTTTTGAAAAGCCTATGTCTTGGTACTCGACGCCTGAAACATGGCCACACTCTTTAATAAATTTCTGAGATCAAAATCGATAATGTTCGTTCTTTGATTTTTTGAGGTTGTCTCAAACTGTTTTTCATGCGAAGGAGCATCAAAACGATTTTCGTGGCCAACCCCCATGAAATTGAAACGAAAAGTGATCTTCTGGTCATAATCTTGAATTTTCTGTAAAAAAGAACGGAGGCCAAACTCTTCACAAGAGTCAACAGGCGGCGCTATTTTGGTCCGATGTTGCACTGTTTTCTGTGGGCGCGCATTTGGTGTAGTGCAACCTTGGGAATGGTGGGGGGGGGTAAAAAAGGGGATCATGTGATCACCTAAATCTTTAAATTAAACTGAAAAGGGGTGAGTTACTTGGCCAAGTCGTTATCGAGAGCAATTGGGTATGTCCGTACCCAAATCTGACGTAGCGTCAAAATAAACAAAAAGGTAGTAATGTTCAAATAAACTAAGTTTCCATTTTTTTCTGATAAGCTTAATAGATAAAGTCGTTAGCCAAATGCTCAGCATCAGCTGAGATCATTGAAAAATAAAATGGACACAGCAAGATTCAGTTTTATGTTGGTGACCTTTTGGCCCTAACACCGCCCCCCCCCAATTCCTGGTCTGAAGTCCTGTTTGTGAGTGACTGTGTGATGAACACGACCAACATTACTTTAGTTTTGCCATTTCAGCTTCACTAATTCAACTACTAAGAAGTGCTACTGGGCGATGGAAATCCTTAATGACAGGGAAGCAGGGCGTAACCAATTTGCTCTCGGCTCAACCTCTGAAAAGGAAATCCTATTCAGGCGGAAATGCTGGGGATGGCAAATGATGAGCTTTGGTTTTGTCTAATGAGATTTGTCCTATTAGGCGGAAATTCAGAAGCCCTGGAACCATGTTCTGCCGAAATACGTAAAAAGAAACAGTTGTACTTTAAACCCGATTATGATGTGGCATATTTTAGAGTCGAAAATAGTAATGACTATTTGATCTATGTATCTACGCGGTTTAATAATTTCAGAATGGTTGATAAACAAAAGCTGATTAAAATGTTTGGTTGAAATTAATAAAGGTGACAGCATGAGTTTTTTCAAGTGCCAAAAATCATTTTGCATTATTTTCGTTTATTTTTCTCCGTATGTTCTACAGTTTGTCTCACTATTATCAGTTACTGAAACCTCACTGCATTCTCACTGAAGTTGAGCGCGTTCTGCGAGTGCATTAACTCAAACAATAATCATCGGGTGGACACAAACCAAAATTGGCCTAAAATATTCCAAACCCCGTTTGTCAGAACTTGGTTAAATGTAGAAAATGTAAATATTAGACATTATGTTTTGAAAGGTGTTCAGCACAATAGCCCAGTCGTGCTATATACAGACAAAAGAGTCAGCAGGAGACTGATAAATAATTACTAGTCCGTAGTGTCAGTAATCCGCAAGAGCGAATTAGTAATTTGTAATAACATATTAGTAATCCGTAGGCCCTAGTGATGAATAAGTATTCATAAGTATTCGAAGTACTGATTTTTTTTTTGGTCTGTGGCACAATTGAGCTTTCCTATAGTTCAGTGATATAGACCCACGGACGTACTGATCTGGACTCGCAATGCCCTTAATCAGCTTATAGAGATAATCGGATCCACTCGCAGCCATTTTACCGAGCCGAATACAACGCTTTCCTGGCAATACCCTCCTTTATTGTTCCAGATGTCAAGAGAAGGGAACCAACCCCTGTATTTGTATTTTGGCTCGGTAAAATGGCCGCTGGTTGGCTTGTGTTGCAAGTCCAGGTATTTTTTTTTATAGACGTCCGTGTATAGACCTCGGGCGATATTAGTTGTTTCACATAAACCACCCACAGTATGAATAACTTGTGTTTAGCAGCTCTTCGATTCAAGGTGACATTCCACAGATCAGTAAGACTATATTTTTGCTGCAAGCACTGAATTCCACCTAGGATCCATAATTGACCCGACCAGGTCGAAATGCTATGATAAAGTGTAAGATTACTCAATAAAATGTGCCCAAGAGGTTTTGGTTACCACCCTAACATAATAGATGGGGACGTTTGGTGCTTTCACTCCACCGTAACCTCAACGATTTTGCTGGGGGGGTATTTTTTCTTAAAAGTGACCGGAGGAATGCATAAAGAAGGTGAAGTCCGTATATGTGGGAAAATTTTACATGACCCCATGGAATTATTGTGAAGACAATTTACTAAGTTCTTTGAAGAAAAACTAGATTAAGTTTCAACAACTTCGGTATCTTTAGGTTTTAACTCTGGCCACATCGTCTCAAATTACATCCCTGTTGACAAAGTAGACAAGACCAGGAACTTTCACCACTCCAAGCTTTCTGTGGTGATTGTGATCAAAACACTTGCGCAAATCGAAGTGTTCGTTCCCAAGGTAAAGGATAACTGAATTGTGAATTACTCCCAAGCAACTGGCTAAAATCGCAACCATTTATACGGAGAAGGTCAAAGGCTCCAGACCTTATTGTGTTTGCTGTTGGTTTGGAGTTAAGATCCCGCTGACAAAACCTTTGCTCTACTGCCAGGTCATCCTGCATGGTAGCTGTAAAGCGCCAAATGGTGAGTTTTGACAATATTATGCTAAAAAAATCAGCAACTGAGACGGCATTATTGAATCTTTTTTGCTGAAAAAACTGCATGTTAGCCTATTGTTAAATAATGGAGAGTTCCCATTTTTTTCAGCGGGTGTCGTTCTTTGTGTCAGTAATTGCTCTGAACGATTGGGACTAAGACTTTAAGACATTTCGTTGACTGAAGTTCCTTTTTCCTATTTTTGCACTTTATTCATTTTTTTAAATCCAAAATCTTCAAATTAAGCACCAAAACTGGAGTTAGATGGCCTACATTTCTGTAAATGCAGTGGCTTGAATTTGAAATCGAATTTTGAAGAAAATCACGTACGTACATCACAATACAAATTTAAAGCCATTTCTCAGAGTCTGGTAACTGAAAATTCATACCGTGAAACTTGTTCAACACTAATTTTTGATCCGTTTAGGGTGTAATTTTGTACCGTTTCGATGGCCTAAAAATCCTGTTAATATTGTACTGTGAGCAGTGTAAGAACTCCTCAATATGCATATTAATTTTTGAATAACGGCCCATTGTGCATAGCACGCGCTCAAATTAATACTTAAATATATCGTTTCATTTCACCAAAACATTGATTAGCGCATGCTATGTAGAAAATATGAAGATTGTATGCCTAATCACGCATATTTACCGTATTAAGCTCCATCAGCGATCTGAGATCCTTTAACCCTAACAGTCCTGAATCCTCCAATTTTAATATGATTTTGCACACACCCTAGGGAGTTAGGGCTAATCTAGCAAAAAGATCCATGCCCGCTGCGTTGTTGATACATGCTCAGTCACATCACATAAACTTTGCGAACTTTGACCGCAGGTATTGAGATTTTTAAAACGTGCAAATACGCTTCTTCCTGCTAGGGCAATTGGTTAATATGGACCAATCGCCAAAAGGTTTACATGAATGTAACGAGCAAGTTTTAGACTCCATTCAGCCGCTTCATCCAAGCAGAAGCAACAAACACTTCTGAAGTTTCTTGGGTGCGATGCACAAAGTTCGGATTTTTTTCGGCACGTTTCCATTAACTTTTACCAAAAACTTGTTGACTTTAAATGGAAAAGGCATCGAAGATTGTAAGTTCCTCTATAAAATAACGTGCGATCCAGAAGTATATGTCATTGTGGTTTCGAGATACTTGCATTTTATCTTTTGAGAAAGGTCAGGTTGCTGCGTAATTACCACGACAACTTGCAGCAAAGCAAATGAGCGTCACGTTCTGTTATGGAAGCGAGTAACAGAGTAATTGAAATTCATCCCACAAAATCAATCAACAAGCAAACATTCAAAGAAGATACGCTTTCGTCACAATCTTCCAGGCGTTGAAACGTACGTCACTGCTAACGTTACTGCTGTTAATCACCATGGTTCTAGCCTGTAGTGGAGTCCTTGTTAGGTCTTCAAAGGTAAGTTGAATGAATGAGATTTGTTGTTATTTTGTCCAGCAAATAATAATGTCATTTCCAGACGTTTTTGTTGAGAACAAAATCAGTTTCATGGCGAATTAAGATGGACGATAAAAACTTACGCAACTCACGTAAGGCATCAACATTTTGAAGTTCCTCAATTTTAAGGCATGTTTTGTTTACATCTATCGCATCAGGAAAGGTGAGCTCATAAGCACTACAGAGAAACACAATCATTTTTTGCCATCATTCCCTGTTCGTACTTCCAATGCCCTACTGTGCTGGGCCTATACTCTGGGTAACTTGTTACAAAGCGTCCGTTCCATCACTTTTGTGTCATTGTACTACATGTATGTGTACCTGCCTGAGCCCACGTGTACGTATGTGTCATATTTAATGCACGGGAATTCGCTAGAGTGACCCCTAAAGTTTGGACTGATAGGGGACGTCGCCGAGATCTTGTGGTAGTTGCAATTTCTCAGACAGCCGACACGTTCTCCAATTTCAATATCTGCAATCCTGGCCCATGGCCACTCGTACGCATTTGCTTTAATTTTGCTGGCAGCAAAATCTGTAACTTAGTTACGAGAAAACGTGCCGAGCAGAGTATCAAATGGATTTGCCGTGCTTATCACAAATTTTCAGAGAATAATCTTGAGTGCCGCACAGAGTTAGCCCTCTGGCTGAAGTCATAGACATTTTGTTTATCACTTCCGGCACCACTGAGCGATCCAGTGACTGGTTACTTGAAGACCACCCAACCAACGACTTTCGTGCATCTTATCCAACATTAACTTTATTTCCAAACAAAACCCGACATGAACAAAAAGTAGTCCTTTCAAAGTGAAAAGCGTGGTATTTGTAAGTGTTTCAACTTTACTATCAATTACAGTGAATCAATCGACCTTATCAGTCCACCAAACGTGTTCTCAAGTGCATTTTTTGGCCTTCATTTTTCTCTTTGAGGGGCCTGTTTGGGTTGGTCTGCTTTGAAAGTGCGGGGGTCTCGTAGCTGGATTCAATCATTCAAACACACCAACCTGGATCGAAACTATTTTCGCACTCAAGAGCTATGCATTTGATGGTCACCGGGGAAAACGCCCTCAAGGCTCCAGTGATTTATTTTGACATAAAATTGGAATGGTTATTAGTTCACTTGACAATTTGCGTCTGCTGCAAGGTTGGATGTATAAAATCCCTTTTAAGCTTGATTAAAGGGACAAAAGCCTAATTAACAGTGATCTAAAACAGTCATGTCTTACCTTTGATCTGAAGTTGCCAAAGATTACCACCTTTACTTTGATATCGATGATATATATATTCATGGTTGAACGTTTGATTTTTTAAATTCGTAAGGCCTAGTAAAACTTGTTTGCATGAATAAATTCAAACTACTTTTTCACACCAAATTGTAAAAAGTTTAAACTACAGTAGCATAAACTCAAATCCATATGAGTGTAAATTGGCTTGCCTGGGTTCAAGGAGCACTTTGCTTTAAACACTTTTCATCTAACGGCTCATTGTTACGTCTGAAATGCAATGGTGAATACTGGCTGGGGCGTGAATCAACCCAAGTCTAGTCGTCAGTGAATACCATATGGAAAGAGAGTAACAGATTTGGGAGAAAATAACGTGTTTTTGCTGCAACGATTCTAAAAGACAGTTTTGAAGTCAGAGAGGATGGCTCGAAAATGTTTTATCATTAAGCTGGCCTCTAATCCCCGAACAATGTTATGGAGTGTGAGAACGTAGCCTATACCTTTGTGGTTTATAGGTTGATTGAAGCATGGAGGAATGAATGGCATAGTCTCTGTTTAATCGTCAGGGCCTACTTCGGAGCTTTCACGTATCGGCAAAACAAAGTTCACACATTCACTAATTGAGGTTGTTTATTTCCTATTATTAAAGACCGGGAGAAGGCGCAACACTAACAATGAAATGAAGGGTCAAGGGGCACTGACAGAGGGTAAGCCAATTATCAAGCCTCGAGGGGAGTTTTTTAAACCAAACGAAACTATTGAATATGGTGATTCCGACTGCTGTTAAATGGTCTTAACAATAAACACAAGTATCGAAGCCGACATAGAGCCTATAAACCCCGAGGAAGAATTTGCGTGAAACAGAACTTAACTGTAAGATATCTTGAAATTGGACCAACCTCCAGTAATAGTCATTGGCGTTTGCAATGTTACTTTTTAAAGATTTGACAAATCGCTGGAACAGAGTCTTTTGTATTTGTGTGGCTTAAATGAAGAGTTACTTCTTCCATAATTTATAGGCCTCTCTCTGTCAAATGCATAAGTTTTAAGTCAGATGTTACAAAGATTCTTTCATCAAGCAGGTGCATGTCAAGGATTTGAGTGTGGAATTGGTCAAGAGTGCAAAATGACGACTGAAGGGGAGACTATATGTGTCTGTATCCAGGTACGTCAACAGCACTTTCCCCAAAGCCTGATATTTCACAAAACAACTCATGCTTGTTTTATCCTCCCTCGTACGAAGAACTGCTGTCATTCATTTTGCCGAAGTTTAGACAACAAACCCATCGTCATGCTTTGTATTGAGTAATTTCCAACTGTTTAAATGTTCGGAGGAAATAGGCAATATGAAGCCTTGTTGTTTATTTGGGAGGGATAACAATTGGTAGGGAACTGTGCCCATAGGTAACTGACTTGACTTGAATTACTGTGGTTTCAATGTTACTTGACAAATTAATTTTTTGGAGAATTTCAAGGAATGTATTGCATGTCCAAATACTTTCTAATGAACGTTATTTTGAAAAACGTGTTGGTGTTCTTGTAGCATTGCGAACATCAGGGTATCCGTCTACTCTGCGCATCTAATGGTGTGACGTATACTAGTGAATGTGAGCTACAGAGGGCTGCATGTCGACATGATGCCCAGCTCTTCATTGAACATGATGGGGTTTGTGCTTGTAAGTAAACACTTCATGGCTGAATTAAAAATAAATGCATTCCCGGAAAATAAATAATTAACGCCAAAAGCTGTGGTTATGAGCAAGACTAAAGAGGTAATTATCAGAACATAATCCCCCACACTAAATCCTATAAAAAGCCACATTTTGTACCTTTTTTCGATGGCTGCTTTAAAAAAGAAATGAATTAATCAGTTTTGAGACGACTTTTTACAGCGATGATAAGCCTGGTTGACCTGAATATCAAGAGGCTCATTGACGTCGCTTTTTTCTTTATAAAGCGTTACGCACAGATTCTGCAAAGACCATGTCGAGTCTGAATTCCCGTGAGCATCCTATTGCCTGTTATCAAGACCAGAGGGACACATTGCAGCGTGAAATCGTCGATTGGCTACAAGCAATCCATCTGCCTTCGGTACTGGGAGAAAGCTCTTACGAGGCACTACTACAAGATTGCTTTGTGGTAAGATTGTTTTCCTCTGTGTTTGCTGCAAAACGAATAGTTTTACGCGGTCGACTCTTAACTGTTTATGTACTTCATAGCTTTTTTGTTCAAATTTTGTAATACATAAATTGTTTTCTGTAATTTTATTTACCAGAGATTTGACGACTCCCAGAATGAGTTCCTTGAACCATCTGAGTTCCTTAAGTTTATTGAGCACAATGAGACTCTTCAGAAAGCTAGCGACTTGTATAGGGACTATGAGGAGGACACTTTGTTACGGTTAGTCTCTTAAAAAGAGCAACCAGAGCACGTGGAGGTCTTTACCTGTTCGGTTAATCAATTCACAGTTCTCGTTGATAGTAAGTCTGACGTGTCCCTTGATAAACCCACTATATTTCCTTTCTTTTTGTATTTTTTCGAACATCTGTTTATAAACGAGCCTGAGATAGTAACACAATAGTTATAACTAAGTATCTAGTCTTGGTTCCAAGACCTTCCAGTAGTTATTCTGCGACACGAACCACACACGTGTTCGTAGAGGGCGCTATCACCACACGAATCGTAGGAAAAACAGATGTTATGAACTTATACGAATAATTAAATATAAGGCTCAAACGAAGCTGTTGGTTGGCTCGCAAAGTCGAGGGAAAAACAATGAAAAACATAAGAAATGAAACAAAATCCAAGACCTTCTTACGATAGCGATTCGTGAGGTAACAGCGCCCTATACATGTACAACATGTACATGTATTTACAGTAGATGTGATGGACCAACTGGAAGGTCTTGGAACCAAGACTACTAAGTATCTTGAACACCTACAAGAGTTGTCCAATCGTCCATTGTCGGTTCCGGACAATTGTAAATTCGGCATTTACAGCATACAGAGAGCCGAGTATAGTTACTGCTAATTTGATTTTTCTTTCTTTTCTTAGTGGTCTATGTGTAGACGCTCTCCTTGCTGAAGCTGATGAGAACTTTGACTGGAAATTGAGTTTATCTGAGTTCATGAAAGTTATGATGCCTGGATTCATCCCACCAACCAAGTGTAAGAATGATGCACTCATTTGCAGCTGGCCATCTATGTCGATTGATAAGTCCCTCAACTGGGTATAAACGACCTTTTACAGATTTTGTGGAGAGAACCGAGGAAGCATTTGAAGTTGCGAAAGTTTGAGAAAAATCATTAAGAACGGAATGTTCTAGGGCCTAAACTAGACCCTGGACTGAACCAGGGTCGCTGGCGCTAGAAGGTGCTCCTCTGTGTGCTCGAAAAAGACTTTGAGGGGGTGAAACCAGAGGGATTCATAACAAGGGCCTTACACAGTTCAAATCACAAGAGGAATGACACAGAAAAGGCTTGGGCAATATCGTTTGAGATTATTGTAAACTTCTAAAGGATAATAGGAACCTGCAAGAGGTCTAGTTATCACCGACATTTTTCTCTGTTTACTATGCAGTGTGCTCCTTAGACGGCAAATATTTTATGGATGGCGAAGAAAAGAGGAGCAAGTGCAACGTCTGGTAAGAAAACGTGATGCAAAAAACTTGCAGATTGTTCGAGACACATAAATGGTCCCTTAGGTTCGCCTTTGGATACATATATACATTTCGCATGCACCAGTTTCAATTACTTTTCATTCGAACTTGACACCAGCAAGGCACCAACTCTAGGCCTAACATTAACAAGCCTCGACTAAGGTTGGTATCGGTTGGCCCAGGCATGAACCAACCCCTTTTCCGCCAAATTCTGCTACAGCTGGACAAAGCTGTCGGGCTGATTGCCTTGTGCTCTCCATCACATTTTTTAACTGAACAATTGTTTTTTCTTTTAAAATGCTTACAGCGTTTGTGCCTGTGGTAACTGGGTTTGTACAGCAAACGTCTGTGATGGAAAATTGATTGCAGAGAGAGAGTTTCGGGACGTTATTGCGGTATGTACCTGCATTACACATCAGGTGCAAGTACCTTCGCAGTTTTTTGTCTAGTTCTTTGTCCACATCCATGCACGTCACGAAAAAAGTTCCACCTTTACGAGGAACCATTCCTACTATCACTTTTTCTCTCAGCATGAAAAGGCATTAAAATCTTAGTGTGTCATTGCCTGCCTTTTCCTACAGCATCGGCTGATGTGACATCATCCTTTATCCTAAATTGTTGCCCACAGAATGTAGCCATCCATGGGTCTGATCTGTTTTGAACAAGCGAAGTGCAATAAGTGTAGGGTATTATACACAGGACTACAAGTTGTCCGATACCAACGAACTTAATTTGTCTTCATGTATTTTATATTTTCAGTAGTGAGAAGTGAAATTGTTGAGGACATTTCTCTTCCAGGTCAGGAAGGTTTCAGTTTCTATCGATTAATATGCTAGCAGATATTTTACGAAGGCCATTTTCAGGGTTGATTTTTAAGAAGTAAAGGAACAAAAGTGTTGTTGCACGTTATGTTTTCTATCCAAGGGTTTTGGAAGCGCGCCACGGAGGGTCAACTTTCAGGCTTTAAACATCAAATGACTTGACAAATTTACACCTGATCAAGATAAAAATAGTACAATTTGTTAAGATATTGTGTTGGTATTAAAGGCATTGAGAAAAATGTCTAAAATGTCAGACTTCGTTTGTATTGGATTTTGTATACTAAATGCAGATTTCCACAAAACGAGCGGATACTTTGATTTTTGATGTGTTTATTTGCCATGCTTCACTCCTGAACAATGTCCATGAATTTACGCCCACGGATACTCAATTGGCTCAAATGAATTTAAATTACATACAGCTTTATATCCAGCCCCTTTCTAACTTGATGCTTTTATTATTAGAAGTCCAAATACACTTAAATCTGAGGTTTTGTTGAAATTGAACGTTGATTTTTTAGTGTTTTATAATGTTGAATAAAAAGAATATCCAGATACATAAAATGTCTTTTAAAATGTGACCAACGTCATGTCCGAATTTGCTAATTGAACCCTACATACATGGTTTATTTCCCATATAGAAGAGGAGGCCATCTCCAAAGACAAGTGGCCAGAGATCATGAAGAAATTATCATCCTTGGAGCCTCAGAAGTTTCCACGACACTAGCAAAATGTCAGACAACTGGCTATCACAATAATCTGAAAGTTAAGAAGTCGTTGATTCAGAAAAAGGAAGTAAACTAGGAAGAATGTTTAAAACCTCCTTTCTTAGGTTTTGTAAGCTTCCCAGGGAGGGCGTATATGGAATTATTTCCTCTTACAGTACAGTGTACTGTAGAGAAAATTTGAAGAAATTAAAGGGAAATTCAACCTTCGGGTATGTTTTTACGTTCATTGTAGGTTTTGCTCATCATTCAAGACCGTCCACATAAGGCAGCGGTCTTTCGGGATGTATACAAGACGTCCGGATTAATTCTTTTCTTATTTAATTGATTTGGTAATTACATTTTGAAGTAGCCTTTTACAAGGAGAGGAATTCATGCTGCCATCTGTAATAAACAATTTAAATTATCCGAACTTGTCGGGTCTTCTGGCATTTAGCTCATAAAGGTTTATTGGTTCAACAAAAGGATCAAATAAAATGCGACCTTTTCATTATAACTGGAAATTAACTTCTGCCTCCTTTAACCTAAGAGTTGATTTAAAATTAACCTTCAAGAGCAGTTGCAACCAAATCTCTCTCACAGGAACAACTTAGTCAATATCTGTCGTAATGCATATTGATTCTTTTTCAAATTGCTAAAAGAAGCTAAATTCCTTATCGGGTCAAGTTTCAACTAATTCAATTCCTTAAGTTATGATTTTTTCTTCTTATTTTGAATGCTATATAAGCATGTACTGACATACTAATCAGATCCGGAATATATAAATTTCTTAATACGAGTCTCGGGGATTTAGATTTTAAGTTATTAGGTTATCTTGTTATTTAGAATGCTGTCTAAGTTAGTTTCGACATAAGATTTAGAATTTCCAACTCATTTATAGGGTTTTGCCTTTACCCAATGTATATATTGATAAGCAGTGTAGCGGGTACCGCAGGTACCGTGAATTCGTTTGCGGTACCCACTGCTTCACCTGACTCGCACCGGCCAGCCGACCCCGGCAAGCTCGGTGGTCGAGTGGTTAAGACGTTTGCACTAGTAAGCAGGAGATCGTGTGTTCGAGTCCCACCCGAGTAAGCTTGTAAATTTTTCGCAAGCTCTCAGACAAGCACTGAGCACACAGTGTTTATCAATATGTACGTTTGGTAAGGGCAAAACCCGTATCTCCCCAAAGCAAAAATACATCTTGAAAATATCGATTTCCTGAATACATATCTTTCGGAATTTCTTAGTTCTTAAATAACTGAGCCTCTGCTTAGGTAAAGAACCAAAAGACTCCAATTTCAAATAATGTATTTACAATGGAATTTGGTTGAGTCATCCAGTTGTTTTAAATGTTGTTTTAGTAAGTTTGGATATACGTATGGGGTTTATATCTACATTTCTCAATAGACATCTTTGTAAATAATAGTGTTGCGCAACCTCAAACCCAAATTGTGAGATTCCAGCACCCCCGCTTTACTTGTTCTCATTGCCTTGCATTTCCAGGGTCTCTTATTTACTTCAGCTATACAATGTAGCAGAGACAGTAATTCTGTATTAAATTATTCATGCTGTACTCTGGCGTGATATCATGTTCCTTCACTCCTTTGTCTTTGTGTTTTCTCTGCTTGGCTTGGAATCTTGGAAGTTCCCCCTCCATGTCACTGCGTGGCATTAGATTCCCTGGAATGCTGATGTTCAGCTACCTATACTTTGTAACCGTCAGTCGTTTTTCTAGGGTGATTTTGTAATCCTTTTTATGCGCGCCAAACAATTTTTTTGTTTTTTTTTAACTTCTTATTCTGTATTTCGCATTTTACACACAACACGAACATTCTTGCCCACGATTCTGGCAGGTAGTCGTGCTCTGTTCAGTTTGAAAGTTTCCAATTGGTTGTACTGTTCAACGACGCCGATATTTGTTAATTTATAAGCCTATAGAAACCAATAAACAGAGCAGGTTTTGCCTACCTCGTCGGTCAGATGCTGCGGAGCAAACCCTTTTTAGGAGATGTGGGTAAATTAAGCCAAATTATCCATAATAGATCCCTTACCACTGAACTCCGAGGAAAATTTCCATCTCGGCAGAATTGAAGTGGGAAAATAAATAAATAGTGGTGAAAAGGTGTTGTCCGTCCACCGGGATAGTTACTGTATGGGGGTATACACTGCCAATTCAGCTCCTGTCCCGCTTCCAGACAACAGCCCCCCCCCAGGAAAAGGAAGAGTAAAGGAGACTATTTTGTCGAGCTAAACTTCTTGTCGAGGCCTTGCAGTCAGTCTTGACAATCGAACTCGTCGAATGGGCGATGGCGACTGCTTTTGCTCCGCACACAGAGAAAACCAGGGAAAGCATGCTCTTCTTGCACATGCACAAACACAAAAGGGTCGGACACTGCCGCTGAATGGGCCAGTTTTGTTTTGTTACTGGCCTAATCCAGACAAGAACTATTTACAGGAAAAAAGCCAATCAACATCTGTTAGTGGCCTTTCTTAACCAAATCTTCAAGGGGTGCCATTTAACGGCTGCATGCGGCAGTTGTAGTAGGAATTTCACTACACTTTGTTGTGTGGGGCGAAACCTAACGCAGTGCGGGGATTGGACTCTTTCCGAGTGATGTGCGGATATTCCGAGAACTAGTTCTTATGTGAAGCAATAACCATACGAATGCCAGCTAGCTTAGCTTGGACCGATGAGAGTGCGGTTCGAACTCGCCCAGGGTGCTAGTGAGAGTTGTAGCATCGTAGCGGCAGGTCTATCACTACATAGATTACTGTAGCTGCTGGGACCTAACTGTTTAAGCAGGAGAATATAGATATATATATTACCCCATAGATTGCCTTCACTATAGGGAGCCATGTTTATAAGCAAGAGAATGTAGATACATATGTCACTACATGGATTGCCCTCTTTTATGGGGACCCAAGTGTATAGGCAAGCCGATCAGAGATACATATATCACAAGATAGATTACCGTCACGATTGGTACCAAGTTGTATAAGCATTCCAAATAGAAATAGATATAAGTCTACATGAATTACCGTAAGTATGGAAACCCAAGTGAATAAGTATGCCGAACAGAGAGTGATATGGGGCTTCACGGGGGTTCCCCATAAAGACGCTTATTATGGGTATCCCCGTGTACAAGCAGGAGAATGTAGAATGTCGGGTTATAGGGGTGTCCCATTTAAAAAAAAAGACCGGAGGTGACGTCATAACTATNTATAGAGTAGAGCCATAGGGTATGTGTATTAATGCATAGGGCCTTAGCGCCAATTTTTTCCCCGAAGTATAAATTTTGTACACAACTAATAGGGAAGACTTGAATTGGCTATAACTATTGAACTGCGACTCCAATGCAAACCAAATTTATACGAAAGAAAGAGTGTCTGCTTGTGGTCGTTTACGTAGAAGTATGGCAACTCAAGTATATCTGTTTAGTTGTTACAATGGAGTTTCATGTGGCCAGTTTATAGACGTGTACAAAACATATGGGTAGGTACAAAAGTATTAGGGTTAGGGTTAGAGGTTAGGGTTAGAGGGTTAGGGTTAGATGGGGTGTCCCCGTTCGGTGACCCTGCATAACTTTTGACTCCCGTGACGTTTGACCCTGAAACTTTAAGAAAAGGTAGTGCAACTCTTCATCTACCTTGTGTTTAAGTTTGAAGGTCATAGGTCAAAGGGTCATGGAGTTATGGCCTTTCCCCGAGGGCACTGTTTTTTTGGTGACCCTTTGAAAAATCACTGAAAATGACTTGCGATCCAGGTTTGGATGTATTTTGCATCCGAATCAGGCCACGGGCTATCTTTTGGGACCGAAAAAATTTCTTATGTTTTTCTAAATTTTTAAAATAATTCACCGGAAGTGACGTCATAACTTTGGTGTTGTACGTGATACGAGGATGGGGTCTGAGAGAAAGTTGTTCACCTTGAGGTACTCTTTCGAATGGTACCACTTTATAGGGTGAGGGTTAGGTGCTCCCTTTAGCTGGGTATAGAGAGAAGGCATAGGGTATGTGTATTAATGCATAGGGCCTTATCGCCAGTTTTTCCCAAGTATAAAGTTTGTACACAACTAATAAGTAAGACTTGAATCGGCTATAACTGTTGAACCGCGAACCCAATGGGTACCAAATTTATACGAATGGAGGAGTGTCTGCTTGTGATCGTGCACATAGACGTATGACGTCTCAAGTTTATTTGTTGAATTGTTATAAGGGATTTTCAAGACGTCAATGTGGGGGAAACAGAAAGGGTAAGAAGTATCATTATGGGCGAAGGGTTAAATATGACCAAATTTTGGGCTAACCAGGACCCAATACGTCGCCAAGGCCCTATCTCTATAGGGATCCCGATGTACAACTTGGCCCCTGGTAAGGGCTAGGGTGAGGGTTAGGGTTAGGGGGTTAGGGTTAGGGTTAGGGTTAGGGTTAGAAGGGGTGTCCCCGTTCGGTGACCCTAAATAACTTTTGACTCCCGTAACCTTTAACCTTGAAACTTACAGGAAAGGTAGCACAACTCTTCATCCACCTTGTGTTTAAGTTTAAGGGTCATAGGTCAAAAGGTCATGGAGTTATAGCCTTTTTGCCGAGGGCACTGTTTTTTTTGGTGACCCCTTGAAAAATCACTGAAAATGACTTTAAATCCAGGTTTGGATACATTTTGCATCCGACTCAGGCCACGGGCTATCTTTTGGGACAGAAAAAATTTCTTATGTTTTTCTTTATTTTAAAAAAAATAACCAGAAGTGACGTCATAACTTTGGTGTTGTACGAGATACGAGGATTGACTCTGAGAAACAGTTGTTCGCCTTGAGGTACTCTTTCGAGTGGTACCACTTTACATCTTGTGGGGTGTTCCCTTTAGGCTGGGTATAGAGGAGAGCCATGGGGTATGTGTATCAATGCATAGGGCCTTATCGCCAAGTATGAAGTTTGTACACAACTAATAGGGAAGAATTGAATCGGCTATAACTGTTGAACTGCGACTCCAATGCGAACCAAATTAATACAAAAGGAAGAGTGTCTGCTTGTGGTCCTTTACGTAGAAGTATGGCATCTGAGGTTTATTTGTTGAGTTGCTATAAAGGATTTTCATTGGCTGTTTCGGGATATGTACAAAACATATGGGTTAGGGTTGGGGTTATTGTTAGGGTTGGGGTTAGGATTGGGGTTGGGGTTGGGGTTAGGGTTGGGGTTAAGTTGGGGTTGGGGTTGGGGTTAGG